AAAACAGTAAGGACTTTTTACTTTGTAACATTTTGTAAAATAGCCATAAACTTAGAATACTCATGCTTTCAACCTGAAAATGGCACACCGATCTCGACGTTTCATGAGATTACTTTACGGGGATTGCATTCCCCTTTCCTGTCATTTCATATCAGGTAAAAAGACTGACATCATCCTCCAGCTGTGTACGTACTGCATATAATGCATTTGTTATCTCACCACTGAAAAACACAGTAAATAACGATTATTTCATCTTCTGCATATGGAGTATGACCACAAAGAATGGATTATCTGAAACATATCGGAGTGATTTTTGCTCACTCACATCTTTGAGGCTGTGAACATATTTCAAGCTTTCCCCATCACCTGAACAATGACTCTTTGACAGTACACCATCCCCTAAGCAATCATTTATATTGATCATGAAAAAATACAACCTGAAACATAAAACATCTGCTGATGTGTCAGCTTACTGCAGTGAATTCAAAGAAAATCCATTTAAATCATGAGATTATTAGAGGAAAGCTACAAATAGTATACTTAATACTGCTGAAAGGACTTCAGTGAAAGTTGAGTTTAAAGACTACATTAAGAGGTGCAAACACTGAAATTCAGGTTTTCAAGCAATATATTTAAAAAAAGGCAGTTTAATACTTTATTTCACTTTTACTACTTCACATTTTAAAACTAGCATCCAAGTGAAAGACCAATGCCTCCTCTCTTCCAGAGGATGTTTTAAAATGCTGTCTTTTAAGATTTGTATTTTAGGAAATGATTTTTGGTCTCCTGATGATTGTTAAGCTAAGTCATTCTAAATTGTAGAATTGTGTGTTTACTACACTAACTTATTTAACATGGTAATGTATGTGTACAACAACAAATACTTTGTAGACACATTTTAACAATTTTCGGTTGGTCATTATGTTGTGTGTATTAAAATGGTTAAAATATAAAAAAAAATATAAATCTACCACTCAGCCTGTAAAGCTGTTTTTCTCATAAGGTCTCATTCTGTAGAAGAAATACTTTCGTCTCATTTTTCATATGGTAAAATTCCCACGGTGCTCAAGGGAGACCAAAGGATATATTAACTGCAGTGACCGGTCAATTTCCATTTGTTAACTTCCTGTCCAAGATGAATGACAGGGAGTGGACTTCCTCACAAACACGAAAGTAAAATAAAATGTTGACTATGTATAAAAATCTTAACACAAAAAACAAAGCAGCAGTGTACTATGACAGTCAAACATGAAAATGACAGGAATGGAGAGAGAAGAGGAAGAGAATGACAAAGAAATCAGTATTCAGAAAAACCTTGAAATAATCAGCAGAATCAGCAGTTTGAGTATGTTTTATTTAAAAACTAAAGCTGCAAAATAAATAGTAAAAAAAATGACAATAACAGCAGGCCACTTCATAAGAAAGGTTTCATATGAAATAAATCAAAGCCATCTTAAAATAGCTTCATCTGAAAGAGATGTTTAACTCCTACATGAAACAGGATTATCAGAGCCTCTTCTCATGACAAAGCATGTTGCTCAGATATTTTTTAAACATGCACAGTAAATTAATTTTGAGAATGAAAAACACATTCAGCATTACCAAAATGCATTTATAAGTGATTCAGGACACTTTACAATCCTGTATTCTTCATCCCTTCATCATGAGTTGCTTCAGAACCACTATTGAGTGGTGTTTTCCATACTAAGATACCACATAGACATAACCTGCATCTCATGCACAGGAGTAGACAATCTTTCCTTTGATCACAGCATTATTAAAATGATTACAATTCCTATCTAGAAGGTACACTACTTTTGTGCTGCTTGTACCCTCTATAAAACCTAACCATGCTTATATATTTGAAACTGATGACAACAAATGCTGTAACCCCCTTTAGTACACATTCACAACAATGTGCCATACGTGACAAAGAGTGCTGACATCTTGACAAGTTATAAATAAACATTAGCTCAAGCACCCAATGTTATCTCAGCTATAAAAAGTACCAGATGAACCTGTGAGGCTGGCAGATCTGATCACCCCATCATGCATATTAGTGGAGAAATTAACCACTTGTCTTTGTCAGCCTCCTTTAACCATGCCGGTTAAGTTTGCTTTTGCTGGTGATATACTGTTATTCCCAGACTTCCTGGTTCTAAAAAGACTTTTAAAGAAAGAGAAATGTGAAGGAAAACATTTTTGCAGTTATTATTTTAGAACACTAAGTTGATCTTTATGCCAGGAGACAATCACAAAATAATACAGCAAGCAATGTTCTTTGGAGAAAAAAGCAGTTATAGAAATGGCAACTTTGTTCTCTGAATACCAATGACCACTGAATGATAATACATTTTGAATATCTTTATTACTGTAATGAAATTTGCACAACGCTATTTCAATATCCTTTTTGTTACATGTGCCAACATCAATGAGTGTCTTTATGTCTGAAATATCATCCTCTTATCCACGAAAGATCTTCAACCACTCTTTCTAAAATCAATTTAGTTGTTTTAAATTTTGACAAGTGCTGAGACATAGAAATAATGGTTCAATCCTCCTACTGATCTGCTTATTTTAAATGAAGTTACATAATGCACATGGCCTTTACAACCACCGGTACTTTAGCAATGAGTTAACCCATTTTCTGTTAAAAGTGAACTACAAATAAAACTTTGCATAACTAATTTCCAACCCTTAATGTCACTGTAGTATTATGGGTTTAGAAGAAAGTACCTCAGCCACTAGCTAAAACAAATTAATGATGATAAACACAAATCAAAGTGTTTCTTCCGAGTCTAGCACCCGAGGCAAAACTGCATAAAAAGTATAAAGTAATTATGAATCAAGTGCAAAATGAGAAAAATTAGAATACAGGCCAAAAGTGCAGTTTTCATAACATCTCAACTTGTACTGCATTTAAAGTATGCTTAATACAGTAGTTTAAGAACTTAAAAAATGTTAAAATCCATTTAATTAAAAAAAATTAAAGCTCCATAGTTTAAGAAAAAAATAATCCTTTAGTTTTACTGCCAACTTGTCTGTTTCTGAATTATAATATTATACAGTATATTAATGGTCAAGTCAAGGTTACTTGAGCTGAAACTTGGATTTTTCTGGATTTCAGTTGTCAAATAGCATCTTAAGGTGACCCATCAAATCATGCACTTGTCCTCCCTGCACAGAGAGAACAACAGACTGTTCCTTCCAGCAGTATGTGCAGGTTCTGGCTCTGAGGATGATGTCACCTTCCAAAATAGACAACCTCCAGTAAATGTTCTGAAAACAATGTGAGAAGGAGTCACACTCCTCCACAGTCCCTTGCCACCAATCTTTAGCTTGACAGCCTTTAGATCAGGGCTGCTGCTCAAAACACTGCATGCAAATTCAGAGAGAAACATGGAATTCAATGGCAAACATTTTCCATTAAAATATTCTTAACCTCTCTGCTACATGGAGTTTTTCAGATTCTAATCTGACTAGCAATGAAGTCTGAAATTCACCTCATTCAAACATCCCATTTCAAAGTGTTCTTTTACCCTCACATCTTTCTATTACTATATAAAGATATCATTACTATTGTATCCACAACAAAACAGAGTTATGTTCTAAGCACTGCTGCAGATCTGACATTTAAATGTGAAAAAACACCAGTAACATACACGTTATTATATATTAAATACAATGGTATAAAATATTTTCTTTTACTTAAATACATTACAAGAAGTGCTTAGCATTTTTAAACAACAGAACTGAAAAGTAGCAGGTTTAATGCTCTGAAATTGTTTTCATATTTGCCTTTACAAGATTATTGTAATTATCTCTTTTTGAGATATATTTCCGAGAATGATCCAGATGGCTGTAAATCTGCAGGATTTATACAGAAGTAAGACATGAAACATCTTACTGAAAATCACATCTGTATTTCTAGGACTAGCTTTTTATGATACATTTCTACCAACTCTAAAAATGCTAGTATTGTTTATTCGTTACCTGCATTCATTTTATAGTCTCTTTAAAATTTCTTACAAATGTTGTACACCTGTCACTGTGCTTTTATATTCAAGCACAGCTGAATAACCGCACACAAAGTTGCAAAGGACAGAACTAAAAATAGGCAGGCTTTTCTCAGAAATATTTGATGGCTTTGTCACTCACCCTGTGTGTTCATCCGAGATTCCTCCTGAGTAAACCCTTCCTTAATCAGTCTTTGACAAGTAATGGGAATAATAGAGAGGACTACAGCACTAGAAGCCAAAAGCTCACACCCCTAAGAAAAAACTAACAAAATGTGAGCTTATTCATTTAATTTCTAAATTTGATTGGAATAAAAAAAATGATTGTGAATCTTTTTAAAATGTTTTTGCAGACAACTTATTTTGCATCTGTTTTATGAAAGAAAGGTGAACATGTATGAATAAGATTCTTTCTATTTAGAAGTACTGTAAAATGTAAATTCCTTATAAATATTGGAGAACTAAGACATTGGTTTAAAAGTTAGAAGCATTTTGCTGAATATCTGTACAAATTAATACATTTTTAAGTACTGGATAGCAGAAAGATAACCCAAACAAACCTGTAACTAATGGTACATTATAACATCTGATTTTATCTGAAAATTGTTACTCATTTTGAAGTGCATTCGTCAGCATGCATAATTAAATTGTGTGCTCAATTTAAGACAAAATACTTAATTTTCTACTTCATAGAAATGTATGAATCTTCAATTCTAAAAAATACATTTTTAAAACCGTAAAGCATTAAGAAATTGCAGGCCTCTTCTCAGAAATTTAATATTTCCTTTAAAGTATAATTTTATTTTACTGTACAATTTCTCATCAAGAAAAACACATTTTTGCAGTTATATTGCCAACTTAAACATTGAACACAAACAGGCAAACAAGACAAAAGAAAACAAATTTGACAAAAAACTTAAGCACAGTGCAAGCACACCACAAAACCCCATGTTAGTAGACATGTACATATAACAGTTACAATACCTGAGGTTTAGTGCATTCCTGTGAGCCAATATGAAATGAATGCCATAAAAGGAAAAGGAAAAGATGAGAATTATCACACATGCCACATTTCATTCCAAGATTATGAAAATTATGCTTGAAGCTTGATTATGTCCCTTAAAATTATGCTGTATGAGTCATGCAAGCTGAAAGAAAAAAAGCATTTTCATTCTTTATCATGCTGATGCAGGTTCGCCATGCAGTTTAAAATTAAATAAAAATACCAATAACTAATCCTCTCGAAACATGCTTCTTGCAATCCGTACAAAACCGTTGAGAACCTAGAACAATTTAATAATCAGTGCTAAAGAATTACTGAAATAATTTTTCTCTGGGAGCCAGCTTCTTTCCTATGATTAACATCCATCCTTGTGTAAATGATGTTCACAAAACCATAACAATTAAGGAATGGCTGCACTGGGACAGCAAAGTCCCTTATTGACACGAATAGCTAGATTTATCTAGTAATAAAAATGATATACTGTATCTATTTTATTTTTAGAGAACACCAAACGGTATGTACTTCAAGAGCAAAAACCCATCATGATTTAGACTCCTGACACCTTGGCATGTGTAGTATTTCCTGAACTTGCAGTCAGGTGTATTATATATTCATCATTTAGTCATTAATTATGCTGCACACAGACTAAGCAAATCATAAGATGGAACATCTGGACAGGCTACAGTTTAATTTGGGCAAGTCTAAAAAGTGGTGTTTCACTTAAAGCCTCCATATTAAGTGCTTTAACAATTCCATTTAAATCAAAACATTAGGGTGGGTTTTCATTTTCTATTCTGCTTTGTACCTGAGAAGCCTAAAAGAAGTTTATTAAACTATGAATTTAACCTGTTCCAGTATTTGAATCGGATATTAAACTCATCTCTATACTTTAGTTTGAAATAACTAGGTTATTAGTGTAGACATATGGTAGGCATATAAATAGCAGCATGTGTGGGTGGCCTGTCACAAAAAATGCCACAGCACAATTTAAAGTCTCAATCTGTATTAGAAACAAAGGGATTGTCTGCAGCTTTGAAGCAGACCATTTATATGCATAAAGCACACAAGTATCGATCATTTTAAAGAAAGAATATTTCCCTGATCACTTGAGAGGCCTGTTCAATTTGGCTTCTATAACTGTAAGTCTGACAGTTTTCCCATAGAAAACACTGCCTCAAAGTTTAAAGCCACAATGTGAAAGGAAATCTTGAAAGAAAACTGAATTCATTAAATAATTAATTGATTTGACTTGTTCAGTTTCTGATTTTGCCTGCAAAATACAGTGGTTGTCCTTTGAATTTTCCAAAATCTTTTAATTTACTTGAAACGTGTGCAGATGTTTAAGTTTTCATCTGAAAATCTGGGAGAGGGCCTATGACTTTCTTTTCCTAGAGAAAGTGTAATAATAGTTTTGACTGTACACTGTGTAATGTGCTAATGACTGGATCTGTGTTCTGAGAAAGAAGAAATTAAAAGTGTATAGATTTACAGATTAAGCAACTTCAAAACTGCATACAGTGCATCTTCCACAATACATTATTATTAGCTTTATGCACCATTCAAAATATTTTCTCACAAATTCCATCTTTCAAAATAAGAAACATTTGTAATGAAATGCTGTTCAGCATTTGTGTTAAAAATACGATTTTTTCTGAACTTTGCAATGTGTCTATAAATGTGCACATTTCTTTGAGTTTATGTATGGATGTATAATGTTCTGGGACTTCTAAACTATCAGCTGAGAACGTCAAAAAACCCAGCAGTGACTACCACCCTAAAATTGAAGGGAAGGGATGAAAGGACCTTGATGATACATGATTATATGGTATAGTACAGCAAAGCAGCCAATTCACAGATTTTCCATAATTTCTTAAATGGGAGTTTAAAATGTTTTTTAAAGAAAAACTGGCCAAGCAATTAATAAAATTACCAGGCTATAATTCAGTATTCAAATCTGCACAACATTTTTTTTAATATTATCTTGTCAAAAATATTTGACACTACTTTCCTGCACAATGTTTTTTGACACTAACTTAAAAAAAAAGTTCTGCAACACTAATTCTTTCAGAATCTAGTGCGAATGATGATGGTGCTTTATAGCCTACATCCCAGCTACTAGGTGTCACATGCAGTACAGATTTCTGAAGGCTATCACTGAAGGTTTGTGACTATCCATCGTCCAAACGAGTAAATGCAGACGAAAATCTGATGTCATTGCTGAACCAAATATGCTTAGTTTTAACAAACTGAGGATATCATACATTTCAGGGCATAACTTCTCAAAGTTGTAACAGCTGGTGTGGTTACAAGTACATAAACCTAACCCAAAAATGTAGTCGATTTCAACCTGTAGTAAATTAGTTTTATATATGCAATTGCTTTTTGTTGTTAAATGCTTAACACCGTACACTATTATCACAGCCTTTAAAACACAATTTAAGCCTATATCAAACAATCCGCAAAATATATCAACAGGGTATATACACACACATCATAGCAAAGAAAACTCTGGAATGCAATTCCCTTATTCAAAAAAGTGTTACGAAATCAGTAACTGCATGGGTGCTGAACAAAAAATACTAAGTCCCAGACTTCTTTCTTTTTCCTCTTTTTGTCATGACGAGGCATATTTGCATAGTGTTTTGTTCTTTTATTACATCTACTGATAGTGGGCTGCATTGCGTTATGCAAAACATTAACATTTTCTGTAGTTCCTCAGTATTGTAGAAGATCCTTCTTTGTTAAACGTCATCACAGATATATTATCATATGATTATGATAATCGCCACATTTTCTCTTGCCTTTGAGCTATTGCAACTCACATTACTGAACATTATGCAGCATGGAGGTAGTAACATTAAGGATTGTTTTTCCAATGTACATAGAGTAGGCACATTGGCATATGAAGGTCACTGAGAAGATTTTCTTTTAACATTATAATGACAAAAACAAAAAGTCCAACTAAACTTAACTTTAATTCTTATGAAAATTACACAATTTGCACGTTTCATCAGGCATGTGACCTCAACTCCGCTGCGATCCAATAGAGTGGACTTGACCAAATGAAGAGCATGAGTACAACTGGTATAAATATCCTCTGCAAGACCAGCAATACTGTGTAGCAAAGCTGTAAGGGGGGATATTTAGTAAATGTTTGTAATAAGATGACAGGATCTCATTGGATTTTCTGCATCTTCTGAAACATTTTTGAGATTAACATACATTAAAGTCAATAACTTTGTTAATAGTTAATGATCCTTCAAAGTTGCACTTCAGTAACACTAACCTATAACTACCCATTCTCAACCATCACTACATAGTATTGTTTTAAGTATAGCCAGTACATATACACAAGTATGATTGGCATACCTAACTTGTAAATAAATTAATCTCATCATTAACAGCAATTATCAATCCACAATTGAACCTTCCCAAAATTCTACCATGATCACCTCTCATCCAGTTTTGTAATTTATCAGAAAGGACACAAATAAGAGGGAGCAATTATGCTTATTAAACTTATGTGGTTCAGTTTTTCAACAGGTCCACAGACAGTGTTGGTTGTACTGGTAAATCCAGCCAACTACAAAATCAGTTTAGTATTTTCTTCATCCATGATCCATAGCTTGTGTCTGTAACATATGTAGAAAACTGCCATATTTGTCTCTTATGACACATTAGATCACAAACAACTATAATATATAACTATAACTATTGAGGGGTGGTGCGGTGACTCTGTGGCTCAAAGGCTGACCCTGTGCTCTGACTCCAAACTTCTCTCCCTGTGTGTGCACCTCATGGAGAGCAAGTTGGGGTATGTGAAAAGACAAATTCCTAATACAAGAAATCGCATATGGTCAATAAAGTGACCTTTATAAGTTATAACTTCTTTTCATATTCTGGCTCTTCTTGTTAATCCATATTTCTCTACCATTTTTGCATTCACAGTTGTTCCACATCTAGTACTTTTAAGACACAACCAGCCTTTTCCCTTTATCATAGACAGTCTTCCAAAAACCTTCCAGTTCCTCTTTTCTTGCGCTGATTCACATTTTTTGGGTTTAAAACATTTTTCAGTGTCGAAAAGTTTAAAAATTAAAGTTTAGAATTTAAGACTAGGTTAGTAAAGCAATACAACACTCAATTTAGCTTTTCTATTGTCAGCTGAGGTAAAAGATCTGCAGTGCATTTGCTCAGCTCTTTCAAGTATAAAACAATATAGTATTAAACATAGTATTGTACATTCTAAATGGGGTTTAAGTAGTGTTATGCATTTTCATTATTTTCTACCTGTATACCTCCATTTAATAGGCAATTATCAGCCAATAAGTTTTCATTAAATTCCAGTGCAACTAACTGTCCCGATTGCCCACTAAGTTTAGGAAGTTTTTTACTCAAAAATATAAACACCATCCTTGTGATTGCTGCACATGTCATTAACCTTAAATCCAATGAAAGGAATATTAAACTTCTGGTTAAAATAAACTCTGTAACCATAAATTTGGTTAATATTGGCTAAAATGCAAGTCAAGCAGGCTCTGTGTTAAGTGAACAGCATCATATACAAATTGTCAAGGAAGACATGGAAGACTAGGAGTATGTTAAGAAAATAACGTTTGTTTAGACTCGTGTTAAGCAAGTAACTTACAGTTCACTTAAGGTTATGTATTTAAATGTTGGAATAGCCTGCTTTGCCTATAATTATAGCTAGGATTGCTGCAAGAAGAAGTCTCAGTGATTCTGAAAACAAAGAAGGGGTGATTGTTCAGAGATATTTGGCAGGAGCTTGTGTTACCAAGATAGGTATATAAGATGAGATCAGCACAAAAATCCAAGGAAAATACATCTCTAGCAAAGGACAACAGTGAGCAGAAGTACATACTCCAGGATTGTGATATCTGTGCCTTAATTCAAAGCATAACAGTTGAGCAACTGCAGATTGACTGTAAATTTCAACCTGAGGCACAAGTAGCTAGTCACAAGCAGCCAGCTTCATTAAAAACTACCCACCAACTCCATAGAGTGGAAAACCACAGTCAATTTCTAGTGCACAAACTGCTCATCACACCTACAGTACCATTCACATTTGCAAGTCCAGTGGTGCAAGGAGCACAAGCAGTGGACTACCAAGCAGTTGAGTAATGTCATGTGATTAGATGAGTCACCCTTCACAAAGTTCTAGACAAATGGATGAGAGGGTACGTGGAGTCAGCCCTATGTACTTGGTTTAAACGGGTTTCTGTTGGTTGCCTAATGTCCCGATTTCCATTTTCCTGGCATTGCTTGTGTGCACTCATTCTCTTGGAAGGCAAAGTCAATGGTAATCATTACTTAGTGGATCTGTGTGATTTCACTCCATGTTACACTGTTTTCCTGCTGAAAACAGTGTCTTCTAGGATGACAATGCCCCCATTTATAGATCATGGGTATGACACTCTTGTTATGCATGTCTTGGCATTCTGGTCACCAGATCTGAACCCAATTGAGCATTTATAAGATATTCTGGAACTTCGCATGAGAGAGTGGTTTCCAACTCCATCAACCGGGATTGAGGAAAAACGGACTTTCCGGTGGTGAAATGGTGCTCAATTCCTGTAGAATTCCAGGTAGACTAGTACACTTGATGGCATGACACAATTCATTTTTTACCACTATCTGTACATGTTCTTGTTCTCCTGTTACACTGCTCAGTGTTTACACTGGTATTAACAAATCTCAAAAAGCTGGTGTCATGGTATATTTGATTAGGCAAGTAAAACCTTGAATTTTTGTCAAAAGAAATACATAGGATGGCAACAAATACATTTAAAGGAATAAGAATAGAACAGCAATTAAATGTGTAGGACAGCATTAAGTTTAGTTCAGATGTTCATTATGTTCTCACAGGCATTCTTGATTTTGAACTTAGAATGGTACATAATCAACATTTTTGGATCATGAGAAAGTTCACTGTTCTATTTTAAAGCAAGAAATTAGGATCTATGATGTTTCTTCTAATAAAGTAAACAAGTAAACTACATACAGATTTTATTCTAATCTCCTGGGACTAAATAGCCCCAGTGACTGCAGTTGCAAACATAACACATGTACTTTTATCTTGGCATATATACAATTGAAATGTATTAAAATATATTTAGAACTAATCACACCAATTTCACCTCCAAGCTGTGCACATCTCAAATAAATGTACCTATAGAACAAGCTCATATGACTCCCTTAATTTCATTTATTCTACAAAATTACTGACAAATGTTCCATACTAAAAACACAGCCTTTTATCATTCTTTGTTTCATGCAGGGATACTAGAAAGCAAATGGGCTAACACCTTCAGCCTTGAAGAAGTTTTGTTAACTTGTCAGCTTTGTGAATTTTCATCACATTTGTTCTGACCTGATAAAATTAATCTGTACATATTGATGAAGACTTGCTGCTTTATCTGAAGTCATACTTTACAGTCACCCACCATCGAACTGGAAATATTTAAGCAAAAAACTGAGAATTTAAGATGATATGCGTTAAATGATAGTCACTTGTATAGAAGCCTTTCAAAAAAGAAAAGGCCCATGTTCAACCTCCTCCCTTATTTTAAGCCTCAACAGACAAAAAAAAAACACATCCACCGACACTCAGCAGCATCACATAGATTTTCTGCAGCTTTCTGATTAAATACCTTTTCTTATTAACTTACTGGGTGAAGCAAAAAGATACCATTTGCTACAAGCACAACATACAGTATAGCTCACAGATGATAAGGCCTACTGACTCACCGTGTGGTATCCTCTGGGTAAAGGCGGCTTCCCAACAGGGTATGGATCCACTGTATCGATAATTGTTTGTCTCTCTCCTTTTTGGTTAATTTTACGAAATCTCCTGCGAGACTGTCGGTGAGAAGCTTGCCGTTGAAAGTATTCCTCATTTTCATCCATATAGTCCACCTGACAGTACAGAGATAAAAAGAGCAAGATATGAAGGGTTTTATCTGCAGCAACTGCATACTGTGCAGCTCTAAGCTCAGACACATATGTTACCCGAACGCGCCGATCAATACAATTTAACACCAAAAAGGAAGCATTAAATGCAATTAAAGATTGATTTTCCCCTGACAAGCTAACAGTTTACCTATTTTACTGGTTGGCAGGCAGCTTTTCATCAATGTTTTTGAAAAGCACACGTAAATTGCAGAGAACCACAGAAAGATACAAATATTTTTTAAAAGCAACTGAAGGACAGACAATGTTAGGCGTGTATAAAGCTCACAAAATTAACAAGCAATTCAGCAATTTTTAATCTGCTTCTGATGTAGCTGAGGCAAATTTACCACTCAGCAGGAACACAAGGAGACACCAATAACAAATAAACTGAAGTCGTGTAATATTTGTCCCTTCATAGACAATCATCAGTAGATTAGAAAAATCAAGGAAGGAAAATAAGCATTTCATAAAGCAGTCTCAATAAATAAAAAGATTGCATAAGCAAAAACCTTATTGTCCAAAGTTACCAATCAAAAAATATGACGGCCAACAAATTATTCCTTTATAAAAGAAAGATGACGATAAAATTTAGAATTTAAAAAGACAGTTATAGCTTACACATTCCTTTCTTGTCTCGTTCACTGCAGTCTCGTATTTTACAACAGCATACTGGCTTCTGCATTATACATCTCTGTACCGTACTATCTGCTGCTATGGCAACTGCAAGGGAGCAGTGTAAATTGTTTGGAGTATAACCAGAATGGAAATCATGTCTGTATCGGTGTCACAGGAACCTAAGCAGTTGTGTAATAATTACAGGCGGGAGGCACCAAACATTTTACAAAGAAAGGCAAAAAACGAATCTTTCTGCACTAATTTGCATAAAAATAGATTTTAGCAGACGTGTGGTCTGGTTATTCAGTACAGACTGTTAAATTATTCCACAGATTACTGCAGATTATGCCACAAGATTATTCTTTAATAGCAACTGCATCTTCCTCAGACTACATACTGTAACAGTCTGTCATGGTAAAATTCCACATGTCTAATGATTAAAAACAGGGAAAAAAGACACTATTGCCATCAAATAACCTTCTATTAACAGTCTTTATTAAAAAAAAACAGCACCCACATGGTGACACTACTCTATGGCACCTAGATGCCAAGTAATAGCTGCTAAGTATAATGAACCAGTCTATCTTACCACTGTGCTGTCACCACCACAATGCACACAAACAACCTTTAAAGAAACATACAAGCAACAATGAAAAAAAACAAAAATGTAAAATATGTAACAAATTTTATTAAATGTACCTGGGAAAAGGAAAATCAGACCCCAGTGAGTAATCAGTTTGATGGTGAGAATCAGTGAACCTTTTAGAGCTGCAACCACATCATTTTGACACGCATTCAGAGTTTTCATGGGTTTGGAAAGCCCTATATAAATACATCACCACCATCATCATCATCACTGGCCAGAAATCTGTACAACACACAGAAAAACTACCGACAAAGATTTTGCAACATAAAAGTAAAAAAGGCCAAATAAAAATGAAGTTAAAGGTAAATACCTAACCCTGATCTTATACAAACCTCCAACTAAGTCACACACATTTGTATTACGTAAACATCATTAATATCCCTAGTACTATAGCACAGTTGAATGATGATTAGAACTACAATCTCACAGTCCTAGGTTCAGTTCTGGCTTGGGGAATCTGTCTCTATGGAGTTTGAATGGGGTTTTTTTTTTCTACTCTGGCATGTGCTTTTACAAGGTGCTCTGGTTTCCTTGCACCTTTTAAAGATATACAAGTCAGGCTTGGTTGACTAATCTTACTGTTACTTCGAGTAAAACTTTTCAAGGGCGATTTCAATTTTAATCATGTGACATTCCTTTTAATACTACCATAAGCAAATTCTATTTGTGAGTTTAAATCGCTAAAACTAATGTAGTTTTTCCAATGAAACAATAAGGCTTGCTACTTTAACAGCTGCTGAAGTTTTTGCCTGATTAATTGCTCAATTAGAGTTTGCAGTGACAAACAGAGCTCATTTAACTGATATTTGAGTCCTACAGCTTCACAATTTAGTCATTGGTAGATTTTTGATGGATTGTGAATTATTTCTGCTAGCAGTAATATGACATACAAATATTTTTTTAACAGGAGAAGTACTACATAATAATCACAAAACTAAAATATTTAACCACTGTAGAATCATCCTGAACTCGGAAGGCAACAAATACTTTTCACTAAAATGGGATCTAGTGGAGACTCAAGGACTGGAAATTACAGATTAAAGAGATGCTGGCAGTTCAGAAATAAACACTGAAATTCAAGAGCCCTAAATATCAAGAACAAACATTTAAAGAAAAAAAAGAACTTACTTTTCTTGAACTCTGGGAGCTATACAAGCAAATCTTTGTTCACACATTGGCTAAACTCGGTCAATGATTAAGTAGTTAAGTTTAACCACTCTTGGGGAATGAAAGAACAGTAGCTAATTACGTAATTCAACCATTTTATAGTGTAGTCTAACTGGTTTTGAAAATAATTTTGTTTTGCTCTTCTCCCTAAATGCAATCACAGAGTTCGGCTATAAAAAATGTGTTGCTAATTTCCTTTCAGCATTAACACATACTCCAATAGGGTTTATAAGTGAGGAAAAAATAGTAAAATTATAAAAAAAGATTTTCTGGTTAAACTCAATAACAAACAACTCAGCTTCAAAATACTGAAACAAGCTCAGCCATAATAATGTCTTTGTTTAGTCCTGTTTTAGGACACGTTTGACCTTCAGGTTTTAAACCCAGTGGCATTTTTCAGTTTTTGTAATCCAAGCAATTACATTTTAAGTAATTATCTCATAAACACCCATTTACCAGACCAGAATACAAAAAAATCTTTCATTTTCAGGCCGGACTGTTATCATAGCACTTTTAACAAAAGCACAAAAACTTAAGTTTCCATAATGTATTAAACTATGTATTTTTACTTAACTGAAAGTGGGTGTTCTATTTTTTTAAGACAATATTACAGTTTGTCGTATAGGAAAAAAAACACTTCTTGCTACTTTCATATATTTTACCTATTTTATTAATAGGTATGTTTCAGAATTACAGTGCCTGCCCTATTAAGCTTTTGTTGAAGACGTTCAAGCACGTAGCTGCGTCAGCATGCGTAGGCTGCAAAGGAACAAGGTTTATTCCATGCTGAAAAGAGAAGAAAAGAAACAACATTTCGGCTGTGGAGCCTTCTTCAGGTGACACCAATGTTTCAGCTGTGGAACCGCCTTCGGGTGACACCCAAAGAAGGCTCCACAGCCAAAACGTTGCATTCCTTTTCTTCTCTTTTCAGCTTGAAATAAACCTTTACTTGTTCCTTTTGCTGAAGATGACAGCTGCCTAAAGGGTACTGGTTAAACAATATATTGAGGAATGGTTCTTTCTAGACTTCTCTTTGTTCAATGAATTTTAAATATAAACCAGCTTTCTTTTTAAAGTTTTCAACGCCCTAATAGTGAGAACAAAGAAAAGAAAAAAACAACCCTAAATTAACAAGCTTTTTTAATGTTAGCATTATTATGTTATAATGCTTTTGTTAACAAATTAAGGGTTTCCTGGTCAAACAGCTGATTTATTTTAATAAATAAACTATCCATCTTTCAAACAAAAAAAACACCTTTCGCTTTATACAAAGAGATAATTTATATTGCACAGCTAGGGTCATGTTCATTTTATACATTTGGGGGAGCACATCTTGTCATTTTTAATCAATCTCATTTTCTTCCTCTTTTTATGATCTTTTGTCTTTTGTATGACTGTGAACATTTTGTTTACAATTGTTGAAGTACCATATCTGTTCACTTAGTAATGCTGATAACTAGAACAAAGATTTCTGATCAACTGCTGTTGCGTTTTAAAGCACCATAGAGCAAAGAAAAATGTGGTTTAGTGTTTAGCATACCTTTCAATTGCAGTAGGTGCTACTGTGCTATGTCAGTGAATCCCAATGGTAATCATAAAGGACTGCATAATGTAGTACTTTGCATAGGATGGCACTCCAACTGAACAGATAAATCATGTATTGAAGACTACTAAGACTAATAAGAGAATTTTGTCTGCAAAAACTACAAAAACCATTTGAAGTCTGCATATGCATTAACAGACAGACTCAAGAGGAGTCCTGCATCAGAGTGCAAACTGCACAAGAATAGGTAAATACTAATGCAATACAGAAAAGCAGGAAAAAGAAAAATGATTGTCATACGGTGAAGAACACTCAAGAAGGGCTTTGTAGTGAAACACTGTTTATTCTTTCTACTTTTCAGCATGAAATTAACCTTGATTTGTTCCATTACAAAAAGACTGCAATATCTGCAATTAACTAAATATTACAGATTACATCTTCTAGTCTTTCGCAAGTTGAAACTATCCATCATATCAAGATATTTAGCACATTTTGTAACAATGACGCAGACTGAAGATTTATCTTCACATGCACCACTTCTTCATGCTACAGTTTACCATAAACTACCCAGATTACACTACTCCCTCTTGAAAGCAAGCAATATGTAAACATTTTCACACTCCTGAATTGGTGCTATGTATTAGTGCAATTTAAACATTTTGTTAATAAATATTTATAGGTCAATGATTTATTGAAGCTTTTGTATTTAATGGGATTACACCATATTTGGTCTTAATAGCCGACTCAAAGGTCATTTAACTGCAAAAACCTCTTGGTTAGAGGTTTTGCTGTGTGAGTTATACACCCTTTCATTACCCTCTTAAAGTAACTCTGACACTAGGAATATTGTATTGTCCAGCTAATTAAACTGCAAAAAAACATTAAATATAACTTGGTACAACAGCATGGTTTTGCAAACAGGCAAGTATTTTCACATTAGGTAGCCTCACAAAATACAAAACAATGCTAAAAAGAATTAGATATTTCCCTTTAACAACACATTTGTTGAAGGGTGATGCTTGCAAAGATGTAGCATTCAGTCCTGACAGTAGTTCATGTCTGAAACCTCGGTAGCTCAGAGGCTTAACTCCCACCCACTGCCTTAAACTACTTTTCCAAGATCCACAAGCGCTTGTCATGTAACACATATTCTACTGTACTGTCTTCAAGGTTTACAAAAGTAAATGATAGCTGAGAGGTTTAACTAAATATTTATAAGATAGTTATAACACAGTATGCACAATATGTGCAGTATCGCCCAGCATTTTACAAATAAGACTTCAAGATTTACATATTAGAAAGACAAATATACGTTTTATCAAATAAGAAAGCACTGGGGTGAAAGCAATAGCAAAACATTTAGTATTTTGCACACCGATTAGCTTTACAATTACATTCACATACAGAACATAGCACAAACACAAAAATACCTTCAGTATATAGAAATGCAGTCATCTATTTATATTTACTTTTCTCATTAAGTTACCTAAGCAAATTAGGAACAATCAGCAATGCAGAGACCAGCAAGACCTCCCAAAAAATAATCTGAGAACCTCTACCCTGGGCACTGATTTCCTGATTTCTTCATCTGAACATGAATTGGTATATTATCCTATATGTGAATACTGGTTAATCTTGAAAATCCCTGACTGCATAGTCTTCTTTTAAAGTACAATGAGGATTGAGAGATTACATACCTCTATTCATGAGGCCATGCAAACTCACATACCATAGATTTTTTATTAGCAGATGCCTAACTACTAGTAGTTAAATGTAAACTAGTAGTAAAATGTCATAAAATGGACAGACAACTTGATTTCCCTAAGCATTTTTTTCAGTGGTCCAATAAACACAATAATCTGTTTATTATGGTAACAGTTAAAAACATCAGATATAAATTAATATGGGAACAAACCTGCTAAATATGTACCAACTGTAAAATGAAAGACAGATGATGATAATGGTATTTTTAATGCATTCTTTTCACTACTACTCACTGACAATGAGAAGAATATCTTTTAACAAGCTGATATGCAAAGAAGATATGGGAAATTTATATCCTAACCATTTGTAAGCAAATAACGGATTAATGATCAATTTGTATTATATGTTGTTTCCAATACAGAAAACATTATATTTCCTAAGATGAACAAGAGTTTTACAGATACAATTCTACAGATATAAACAGGTTCTAAAAAACTGCTCTTTAGTTTTTATTTTTTTGTTTTCAATACACTAGACATCATGTACTAGTAATGATGTACTCTGATGTTCTTGAACATTTTCCTGCTTAAATTACTATTTTTGGGGTGGCTCTCATACAAGACCATCGGGTTGTGCAAAGCTAACTACATCCTCATTTACCTAAATGATGCCATACCAAAATCAACAATGATTGAATTGAAGAGACCATCTAACTGCCAAAATTGTAACCAATGATTCCTTCCTGTTAAAAAAAAGCCAATTATTTACACATTTCTTTTATCTATCATACTTCTACATCTACTAAATGCTTCAAAATGAAGAGTAAATGAAACTTAGTCAAATAAAAGGTAAAAAGATCTGCCCTAGAAAGGACACTCTCAGAAGACTCACCACAATCATTTCAGAAGGCTCCAGCACAATGCATTCACAACCACGTCTGAGGCTTCCTGCTGAGCGCTTGCCAAAACTGAGGAAAAGAAGAAACACAAGAGGTCATGGAAAATAAAAGCTTAAAAAAATGTCATTCAGCTCCAATCTTTATGAACATAAATAAATCATGATATTTCTATAAAATTAAACACATACTGAGTGGTGCATTATGGAAGCAGTGTACCCTCTTAGCATGGAGAGACAAAGAGCACAACCTAAAGCCATTATTTTTTTAAATTAATACATTTATACCACTACCTTAAAAAGAAAGAGGTAAACACAGTAAAATGACAACATAGATGAAAGCACAGTACACCAAGCAATGTCTCAACTGGGACCCAAAAAACTCTCCCAGCGACTATCCAAACGCAGAACTATACCCAAAATATTGCCAGAGTACATGCTATGTTGTCTCTGACTGGAGCAGTTGGTCAACACATTTGTCTGTTCAAGAATTGATTACTGCAGTGCCTTGAGACTTGCTGGGATATCTAAATTCACATTGAACAAACATCGGAATGTCTCCAACTTGGTAGCCAGAATCCTAAACGGGCTGCGTGAAACTGATCACATCACTTCTGTCCTGGAGCCATTGCACTGGTTTCCTATCAGATGTTGACTTCAAAATCCCAATGCATGGCACCTCAGTACCTATCTTACTTAATACCTTTCTAATTCCCATCTCACAACCTTCTTTCGTCTGATTCTGGTGTCCTGTTGGTCCACCAAGCTCATTTACATTCTATTAGTGACAGGGCCTTCTTGTTATATCTCTAGAATCATATCCCCAAGGATATCAGAGAGTCCCCTACTCTAAGTGCATTCAAATCCAGACTTAAAACTTTCTTCTCCAGAAAGGCTTTTATTTAATTGGTGTCTTAGTCTGCTCACTGCATCTTCTACTGCAATTCTAATTCTTTGTTTATCTGTGCTAATTTTGATATCTCGTATCTTTGTTATATCTCCTATCTTTGTTAACTGTCTTTGAAGCCTTGGAAAGGGCTTTGAGAAGCTACTTATAAAGTTACAAGTTATAAAGTTTAAACAGTAGAAATTAATAGTCCTACTTCCATGAAGTCTTAAATAGAAAAATATCCTCCATAAACATGTAAATCAGCCAACTAGAATTTGAGAAACTTGAGCTATACTGACCAGTATACAGGTAGCAGTCTGAAACAGATGTCACTGAAACCAACACTTGACCCTTGGACAATTCGTATAAAGACATCAAAATGGAAAAAAAAAGTAGGCACCACTAATCTGTCAAGCTTAAATAAACAGAATAAATGACCCAATGCAAACACCAAAACCTAGCCTCTGGATACAGAAACTAGACTGGCACAGACGAGACGGTGCATTCAGCAGGGAAGTGAAGTTAGTTTGTCATCCTGCTGCATATACATAACAGTCCATTGTAAAGGACATGCACGTCTGTAAATCCCAAAGCCTGATCGAAACACTTTGAACACGAACCAGAGGGCATTTTAAGGATAGGGAATTGTTCAACTGCAACAGCCTCCAAACTCTCATTCTAATTTTATCCTTATACGGTGTTTTCTGTATGTATATTTCAATAAATGTTTAATAATCACTGTGATGTTCATTCTTTATATGCACAGAAGATATTTGTCTAATAAGTGATTTATTTTGACTGCACAGCTCAGTTATACACTGGTCTTTTCCACAAATAGTGAAAGCTGTATAACCTTAACATGCCAATAAAATATTTTGAAAGCAAATCTGTATAAAGCCCAAAAAGGTGCGATTAGTATAATAAACCATTTAAAGGCAATTATTAAATTGACTGTTCAGAAGCCTGCCTGCACAATTTCTCCTTTAATTGTGAATTAAAGGAGAAATTGATTAATTTCTCCTTTAATTCACAAAAACATTTACCGGAGACATTTCTCCTGTATAGCATATAACATTGCCCTTAATGTTTTTATGATGTCACTTTACAAAATGATTATGATGTCACTATCTGACACTGCAGCAGAATTCTACCTTTACAATAGGCCAATTTTTCCACTAATGGGATTCTGTATGCCTGCTTCAATCAAGGCCAATAAGCCAGCAGAAACTGTCCTCACTGACCTAATTCCTACAAAAAGAGCTGCAGTCTCATTCATCAGTTCCCCAAGTGCACTCATGGGTTGACAATGATGAGACCTGAAACACTGCATTTCTTAAATATTTTAAGCAAAACTGGAGCAGCAGTGTAAAGAAAAAAAGATGAAAGGGGTTATCAGGTTTATAAACCTACTGTAATTAACTTCAAAAGATTTGGGAATTCTGCTTCACTCTGACATAATTAAACAAAGCAGTTGATTATTGTTCATCATTAAAATCCTTTGTTCTAAACAATGCTGTATTAATGAGTAAAAAAAAATAAAATTAAGTTAATTAAGTCACTGATTTCCCACATAATAGCAAGTCCCTGTATCTACATCAATCTGTCTTAAGCACAAATAACTAAGAATTGTGTGGTCCTTTAAACACCAAGAACATAAAAAAAAACATTTAAGCCTAAACAATATCAAGAGAAATAGACAATCAATAACATTGTGACTTAGGTTAAAAATTAAGTTTAATAAAATCTATTGCAAGAAAAATACATGATCTAACAGAGAATGTTGCTGTCTTCAATAATATTACAGTCTGCACAGTATGAATATTTCCTCTACATGCATTGCTCTAAAAGGAAACATAATAGGGAGTAGCTGCATGTAAAACAGTAATGAAAAGGCAACTTATACAAAAGACAGGGTGAATCTCTCCAGTTTTCTGTATATTACAATTAGAACACACCTAAGTACTGTGAATCCTATCCACCACCATGCATTGTGCGGCACATCCTGTGTCAGAAGTAGTAACATGGTGCTGGAAATTTAGGTAATTCATTTGGCAAAGTGAACATTTGTTCTACTTCCTCACAATAAATAGTGGAACTAATCACTAAATTATGATTCTCATGCTATATTGCCTGTTCATAAGATAACGTTCACCACTTGCCTTATATAAACTTATATACGGGGTATTTTTTTAAATGGCTGTCCCCTACACTTGGGCCTCTACATTCCTCTTACACAACAGTCAAGCTCACCACTGGAATGCAATTCCACAACGCAGGAATGTAAACGCATTCATCATGAGCATCATGCTCACGTAGGCTCTGCTGAGCCTGAGAAACATGTGGTGCAGTACTATGTGAAATCCCTCTTTGCTTATGTACTGTGCTACTGCTGATTCCCTAAGCTCTTAAGCAGGAGTGGGTGAATAACTTTCAATTCCTAACTGAAAGATAAAGTAAAAACAACTCTTCTATGAAAATGTAATGTACGTTAAGCTCTGAAAACAAATTAAGTTTCAAAATATCACCAAAAAACACAAGTATTAAAATATATGCCCAAATTTGACTAATCAAAAAAATCAGATTGAGTTTACATGCAAGCACTTTTGTCAGTATCTAAAAAGAAAGCCCCATTTAACTTGCTTATGGCAATACTTTTGTATCAAAGGGCAAAAAAACTCTTCTACTTCTACTTGGTTCTTCTTGATTTAAGATTATAAAGCCCTTAATATCATGCAATTTTATTTGATCTTAGAAGGTTACTTTTTTGCTTTTGTACCTAAAATTGCTGCAACAGATATGCACACTATTATTTGACAGCATTAGATATGTACTAATGGACTATTTCCAGAAAACACACAGCCTTACCCTCATTGGCATAGAGCACGAGGAATTAACAGCTGAACTCATTTTAACTTGTTGACAGCTGACTTATGGCTTCAGGACTCAGAATACTTCCTGAATCACATGGATCAGTTCTACACATTACTTCGGAACAGCAAAAGAAATGTACAGATACAAACTAATCATTTTTCAGGTAGAAGCCTACTTTTCTTTTTAGTTAATGGAAAAGTAATAGCTAGATCAATAAATTAACTGCAAAAAGAAGCTAAAAAATTAAGCAAAGAAAAATTCCAAATTCAAAGCATGTATTCTTTAATTAAATGTTGTGACAGTATAAATTGTTAAATAGAAAGGAATTACTAAGATATATACACCCAATTCAGTCAATCTCAATCAGCACAGGTAATACTTACAGTGTCAGTCTAACTACATAGGGTTTCTGTAGTTGTATTCCAAGCCTCTGCAGTTTGCTCTTTGAAAGACTGCAGTGACGACCACTGAAACTAAACTTGTTTCAGGCTTCAAACTTCTTGAGCTCTTATAGAAGCAACAGTAAATTTGTATCTGACCTTTCTGTTCACTGAAATCCACACAGTAGTTTACTCCATCCACTAGTTCCTTTTGAAACAACCATTTTCGGTGCAATCCCTGTGTGCTCTGAATCTCGGCTCCCACTTCTGTTGCTGTACGTGTAGAGGACTGAAGCCAACATTCCTGTGGACGGCTCATTTCCTGCCAGGGTGACCTAACCACCTCTGCGAGCTGCTGATATGTGTGCAGCATTTTGTCCCCCTAGTGTAGTGCTTCCGAATACCGGCTCTGACACCTGAGAAACATCAGCCATATAGTTGCTCTCTTGTCAATTGTCAATTCATTGGACTGCTTACCCTTTACAATTATAAAGATATTAAACCACTGAGCAACATGACCTTTTATTCAGTTTCCTACATCTTAAATTAACTCTTAGCTGTTGTGTTTTGAAGTAATTGCACATGCTAGTTTAAGATTAACACTAGCTGAGATTTTATACCAGTACAATCTTAATTATAGAAAGCACTGTGTTTATTTTTTTAGCCCTTTTAGTATTTTAGCAGGGCAAGAAATGAATAAAAATCAGCTAAATGTTCGATAATTACTGCTTTCAGGTAAACTTACAAAGAACACACAAAAATTGGATGTTAAAGAAAAAAAAACCTTAATATTCTGAAATGCTAATTTTACAGATTTGATATTTCTTCAATAAAATTTCTCAACGTTAAACATATTTTAGATACACTCTTAATTTTACAAAAGTTCAATTAATTTCAATGTTAATTTAATCAACAATTTGGGTTGACTCTCTTGATCTAGTTTGTATCCTATACAGAGTAAAAGCTTAAGGCTATTATCCTAGCTGTTATAGGCAGAATATTTCTTTAGGATATTGAGAACACTTTTAATTCAAACCTTTTAAAAGGCTTTAATTTTTAGACTAATATTTTAGACTAAATTCTCCGTCAATGAATCCTACTTAAATATCTAACTGAAAATATACAAAAATTTGAGGTAGTGCTATCTAAAAACAGATGAACCATCTAATAGTATATCTATTAGATGCATTATTAGTAAATGCATATCTTATTTTCTAACTATACATTTTAGAGACATGATTTAAAATAGTTCATTTGTCCATTTAATTCCTTTTTATCTGTTTTTATATGCATGTTTGTATCTGTGCAGGTAGTTAAAAAACAATACACAAATTGATAAAGGGCATTTTCTGACTAAAAGAAGAAACAATGGTTTGGGAGATTAATAAAGTGGTTTAGACAATCTGAAAACTTAAAAGACTGCCTGAACTATCTTGCTACAACCTGTGTTTTCACAGGAGAACATTTCAATAAAACTGCAAATTAAAATCAGTGTTAACAGTTGCAGTAAGCACATAAAAACATGATTTTAAAGAGAAGTAACTGAACTGATTCCCCAATGAATGGTTCAAAATCCTGTTAATGAAACAGACTGGCACTATGAGATAAGAAAATGAGAAGCACTCAGTTACATGCGGAAGTTAAATACAGAGATTACTAGGAATGAGTACAACTGTTTCTGATCAGGAAACAAGTAAATTAATCTCTATGTTGTTGGCTTTGTGTGACATTTCTTCATTCCACCAGGTTCATCAAACCTGAAGACTGATAAATCACAGTAGTCACACATACAGGCAATATACCAACAGAAACATAAATCTGCATTATTCGATTTGATTACAGCACAATATAAAACAAAGCTACAGTAGAATTATTAATTGTGAAAGACTTAAAATAAAGTGGTTTCACATAAAAGTATTATTAATAAACACTCAGAAGTCATATTTTCACCAGCCTACAGTCTAACAAACAAAAGCAACAATGTAATATCAGGTTAATATAACCTCTTTGAAAATCCTTCAGTGATAAGTATCAAATGAAAAGGATATCAGATTTTCATAATGGCACAATATATCCTTCAGAAACAACACTTGAACCACTAACAATGACACCATTTACAGTAATGCAAAATGAAAATTGCAGATGCCAGTGTGCAGTAGTGGTTAGGGCTTTTAACTATGGACCTGAAAGTTAAGTGTTCAAATATCTATCAGGTTGCTACTGTTGTACCATAAATAAAGGATTAATCGCTCTGACTGGGTAGTATGGATTCCAAACATTCATAACACTGTTTAGAGGATACATCATTAGAATATTAAGATGCAGCTAAATGTATAATTTTAGGAATGATTTTAAAAGAGGGACTCCAAATTCAGCATGTGTATATGTTAAAAGCAATGGGGCACTGAGACATACAGGTAACTGCTTAAACAGCATAAATACCAACATAACATGTCTTAATAGGATAGTAGGCCACCACAAATTGACAGAACAGATATAATAATAAGATTTGGCATGGATTCTAGAAGTTGGGAGCGACACCATTCGCCCATGAGAAACGTATCATTTTGGTGTTTCCTTGTCTGTGGTGGAATATGCTCTCTCTAGCACCACTCCATATTCTTAATCATAAGTGATCAACTGGGTTGAGATCTGGTGGCTGGGACAGCCTTGGCATACGGTTTATATTGTTTTCATGCTCGTCAAACCGTTCAATGACAATTCATGCCATGAGGACGGGGGCATTGTTATCCAGGAAAACTCAATTTCCATCAGGATTGAAATGCTTCACCATAGAATGAACATGATCACTCAGAATGGCTTTGTATTTATTGTCATTTACCTTGCCCTCTAAAAGGTTGAGTGGACCTAAACAATGCCTGGAAAATCCACCTCACAGCATAACAGAGCTGCCAGAACCCTTCACCGTGGGAAACAAGCATCCAAGCCTCTAGGCTTCAGATGAGTATGTGTGCCACACATGTTAAGAACAGTGTGATGTTTAGTAGACCACTGTCTGTGTTCTTTGCCCCACTTTACTCACGAAAATGCATATTAAGTATAATAAGGGGTTTATGCACTGCAACCTGACCATAGTATCCCTCTCTGTGAAGTTCTCAATGGACTGTACTAGACGAAACAGCTTGCTCATGCCTCAGATGGACATTTGCAATGAAATGATTCAGAGTTGCTCATCTGTTTTGCTTTGCATCTTAAACCAATGCACGGACATCACGGCCAAGGAGTATACACTTTCATCCATAGTTGTGCCAAAACGATGCCTTTCGCTCATACCTCCATGCCAACCTCACATTAGGCACATCAGCAAGTTGAGCAGTCCAAAATAATGGGCAACTGGGCCTGCCCAGCATTTTTATACATGACCTTAACATGATGGAATGTTAATTGCTTAATTAACTCAGGAACCACACTTATGTTTTTATCCCTCATTTATATAAGAGTCTCCTTTATTTTGTCAATTACCTGTACAAGATATTAGACAATATGCATCCTCACAAGGATTTGGACAATTCCATGTTTTCAGTTCTAATTCCCTCTTTCAAACCAATTCCAAGGTCTTTATTTTTTTACATGCTTATGGTTTGAAGAGGGAATTATAATTGAAAAACGAAATTATCCCTACACTGACTTTGGAGCTGCAGTGTGCAATGTTTTAAATTCTACAGAAACACTGGGAAGATTCCCAGTAGGAACATTTATTTTCCATGTCATCAAGTAAATATGAGACACCATTCCCCTTGACAATTAATGCAAAGTTCCTTAAAATGGTACAAAGTCTCCTACCAAGTCATTCTTCAATTAGGCTACATTGCATTATTGTTGAGATACACTACTCCTGTGATCAATGCTGGAATGTCTTTCGCCTTAAAGTTTAATTTTAATATCTGTAAAAAAAAATACAAAAACATTCATATTAAGCAAATTACAGCATGTTTGATAACACCAAACATACCCATCTTTTCAAGGTTTAATTTAAAGTGTTTGTAGCTTCATTTATAATAATTTATTATCCACATAACATAGAAATGTTGAAGAGATAGCTCTGTCATAAGGAACCAGGACATAAGGAATCTAAAGGGGGAAGTTTATATATTTGTTTTCTTAGTGACAATTTTTCCAAATATTTTCATCGTTTTCAATGTTTAAAGGTTTACATCACTGTGGTGCTAAAGGACATTACAGTAACATTCCACCTTATTCGCTAACCTGCTATCGATCTATACAGAATATCATACCCATCACCATCAATGAGAACAATGACATTTTATTTAGACCCACATTTCAGAGTTAAAGCTTGACATTGTCTACCTGGTTTTATCAGACACTCAGACATAGCTGTTGAAACACACTGAAGTAAACCCAGCTAGATTCCTGTGCTTAGGCTATTTCAACACACTGGTAAGGCTCTCGCAGGACTCAAGCTCATATCAGCATCTCATCACATCCTAGACTGAAAGCATGAAAGCTTACCATTCCACAACATGCTACAAGTCCGCCCACGGTATCTTCAGTTATTCACGTTTTACCCATGAATTAAAATTCACAGCAAATAAAACTTACATAGTACATGTACATTCAGAGGAAAAAAAACACTAATTTCATGCAAACGAATATTTTGCTGACATACCTGCTTCTTGGCAAAAACATGGATTCTTTGATGAATACTGAACCAGACAGGAGGATATACCAACAGGTACCAATGTCATCAGGGCTGGAATGGAAGGGGAAAAATAATGAGAAACAGACACACAAAAAATACACACAAAACAGAAGGAAAACAGCAATGAAAATTTACGATCAGTGCGGCACCCTGTGCAGGATGAGTCTAAACACATTAACTGTTGAGCTTGTGGGAACTGTCATTTCACCCTGCTCTGGAAGCAATTACCAGGTTTAAACTCTGTAGCAGAAAAAAGTGGGACATTCTGTCTGTGCTTTTACCACAGCTGCAAAAAAATCTTTGGGAGCCCTGCAGGAGTTCACTGAGCAGCATTCAAGCACAAAATATGCGTGCTTATGCTGGTGGCCTTCAAGAGTTTGGAAACCAACACCTTTCAAGGACAAAGAGATCTGGGTCATGCTGGGATACTCAACTGTGTTCTAGAGAACAGGAACTGCTAGAGGGTTAACAGGAAATGACAAAACCAAACTAGAAACACTTTTATTACTAAATTAGTTGTCACAATAAAATGCCATTTTCATGCATGAAGCAATCTCTTCATATTTTGGCAGCTCCTAACTATTTTGCTTTCAGTGTTTCCTACATTTTAAGTTTTAAGAAACACATTACCACTAAAAAAATAAAGGAAACTCAATTCTAAATATCTAATGTGTTCATTGTTATTTAATTGCCCGCACCTAAAGTTTAATTAAATCTTAGCATCAGTGTAACAACTGAGCATGCATCACAATTTGCAAATGAAGGCTATGTCATTTATCATTAAATTGAATTTTGGAAATAGAATATATAAATACTTCATAGTTTGGTATGAAAGATAAATGAGTTAAAGTCTAATTTGTGGAAAAAACTACTCCCTGGTAACATAAAAAAGGCAAACAGGTGAAAGTAATACAGAAATTTCTGAAATTAAAATAGGGTTTCCCAATTCTGGTTTTGGTAATTGAAGGTTTAGAACGTTTACTGTACACTGCTTAACTGAACTCAAAGTTTGATCAATCAGACCCTTTTGTTTGCCATTTCTGAAAAATTAACATTTTACATTACTCCAATTCCACAACTGAAAACAATTCAAACAATGCTTGAAAACAATTGGTCAATTGTTAGTTTAATTTCAGGTTTAAGTAGGTAATCAAGGCTCATTTGGAACAAAACCCAGCAAAGACTGGGGTCACCAGGATCAGGCTTGGGAGTCTGTGGTTTAAACCCTTTCTCAGGCTGAACCAGCAGCAAATGTAGCCACCGTAAGATTACGTTAAGATAAATGACAAACAGCCTGCAAGGGTATTTTTAACTCCAGGACAGCATTCAATTATGAGCAGTACAATACAAAAATTACAATAAAAATGAGAAATAATGGGGAAAGATGACTGAAAGTCCTTCCCACATACAGTATGCCATCTACTTTTAAGTCCTATTTTGGAGTTTAAACTGGTCCCACAGTCCTTAATATAGATATAATGACTCTCAGCATGAAGCAAACAATACTCTTTCTCTGTCATCACCCAGAAATTCACTGAAATATGTCAAGGATTCCAATGTTCCATTCTCATTTTAATAATCTTATACAAGTAGCATTCAGCTCTCAATTAAGCACACAACCTCCACTGTGTATTGAAACATGGTTTATTCATGAGTAAGCTTTAGCCAAAAGATAATAAATGACAGGCTATATACAAAATAAGCTTATCAAGTGGAAATAAATCACTTTAATGTTTAAAAATGGAAGACATTTTTTTGAGTAAGAAAAATATATATTGTGTTTCTCCGAGTCAGTTTAGATTACTAAACATAAATGTCTTTCTAAACTGTTTCTCATCTTGGCACTGCTTGTCTACAGACTTTAAGAAAAAATGACACCATACTTGAGAAAACTTCAATAAATACAATAACGGAGAAAGACAGGCTCTTCACGAAACCAACCAAATTAGTTTTATTTAAAAAAAAATAATACGAACACATCCTCCCAGTGAAATGTAATACATCAATTTAAGTCATAACATCTCTTTTACCAAATTTATCTGTATCTCTTTGACACTGTAATGGCATCGGTTCAAGCTTAAATACAGGGTTCAACACGGCTTTTTATTCAACCCTCACCTGTTATACTCATAACCTGAACGAACCCTTTCAAACATACACTCTACATAATACATTTATTGCTCACTACTTATGTCTAAAAATTCACCTCTTTAGAGCTTTTGCAGCTACAGCTTTAGCTTCCACTTGCTTTACTCAACAATACAATAAAATATTAATCTTGGACTGAGACATGATGAGGTACAGCAAAATAAAACTGGGAGTACAGCACGAATGCTTTCTTGACTGAACTGGGTCATTCCTTTTCCACCAACCTTTAGAAATATTTATCAAATATGCACTGAAGCTACAACACTCATGGGAACCACTTAGTATAAGCAGAACAACTAAAGTAAAAGAAGCAAAAAAGAAAGAAATGTACCCAAGGAGATACTTCCAAGAAATACACTTTAATTTCATACCAATTTGACAGGCACAACATTTTACACACAAATTAATAAGCAGACTCAAAATCAGAATAAAACAGCATTCTGTAAAGCGAAATTAATTTGGCTTTGGAACATAAAACAATAAGAGCATGCATTTAGGAAAGTTAATTGAGGATTTCACCTGAACTTTTTACTTAATCATCATGGCTGAAGGTGTCTATCGGGACCAGATTCAAATACGACACAATATTTCTGTTTTATGAGAGGATGAATGCATGGGGAATTACAAACTAGACGAGGAGAGGCGAGAGGCTTCAGTTGCTGTCATCCCTCACAAACCTTTGTTAAAAACTCCATTAAAATGATCATAGGGTCATTGTATGTCAAATAAACCAAAGTCTATGAAAAGCCTTGCTTTAGGATTTGGCTTTTGCTTCTATTTTGTGTTGTGGACAACAGGTGGTGGGGAAGAAACAAGGCCACACGAGGTGAACTGCAATGCTATTTTAATATTTCAGGGTTAGAAAGAATTGACACTGATGACTGCATTTCAAATCCCAATGATAGTAAAATAGTCACAGTAACCTGTAAAGCCTCCAATTTACATCACAAAATAGTCAAAATTTCCAGGTATGCGTAGAGCCAAGTTCTGTGATTCAGAACGGGGCAAAACGTCCAGTTACGTTAAGAAGCCTCATTACATTGTAAACAAGCAGGCTTGTGAATACATCTCTTTTAATCCATTAGAAATACTGCTTTCAACTTCAAAATGGTTTTGCTGACAAATACAGCTTACTTGTAAAACCTGCATTCAGATCATGTTGGAACATTTCTGCTGTGAAATGTCTGCTGCACAAGCTTGCATTCACTTGTACATCACATTACATTAGTCATTACAGTGACTACTGAGGAGGAAGGGCTGCATCATGTCTCAATTTGTCCAAACTCACCCATGAAAATACCTGGGGTTTTCATGGTGACTATCCAGCACTTTCACAAAGTAGAAAGTTCACAATTTTGTGCTTAATTCAGAATTAGTCAAATTTAGTGATACGGTCAATTAATTTATTTTGTTACAAGATTTAATAACCGGTCTAAGAAACTGGGACTGCAGTTCCCCTTTAAGATGAGGTACGGAGATCTTCTGCAAAACACCCTCTTTAGGAGAGATGGGGATAGGGTAGAATAAGACTAAACTCCCTTACAAGCAGCAACTTACTTTCTAGTTGTAAAATGCTATCTTTTTATGCTTCCTTGTATCATGGCTAATAATGGCTTTTTAACATCTCTGTGTAAAGACATATTATAGGGAAGATCCTATTATCTATACAGTATTTTAAAACATACAGCACTAAATAAAGTGATTCAAAGTGAACAAAAATGGGGAATTATGACCACAATATTATAAGTTTTGATGAATGCTATCTCTAGAGGCTTACTCTAAAATTGGGGCTTATAGTTAGAAAAGCAGAGTATAACTTGAACTGGAAACAGATGCACACAGGTCAAAAGACTTATTATTGATAAAAAACAATTTTAAAGGTTCAAAAGTACTTCATACCTAAAAAATATTACCCAAATAGTTGAATGGAGAAAATTAGAACAAAATCAGAGTGCAAAATAAGAGTGTTCAACACATTGAACAGAGACTCCCAAAATACCCATAAAAATACAGGTGCAACTGAAAAGAGATCAAAATCATAAAGAGCAAGCCAAAAAGGAATAGAGAAAAATACTGACTTAAAATAACGCAAAACACTTGATAAAAGTAAAATTATACAAGGTTAAGTAGTTTTCAGAATAATATCAGTGTTATTTGGCTCCATAGCCAAGATGCATTTTCTTTCTTCTCTTTTCAGCACGGAATAAACCTATTACTTGATTCTTGGCAGCCTACAGTACGTATGCTGACGCAGCTACCCACCTGAACTAATATCTGATTAATACTAGAAATATTAATGAAAATGTGCCAAATCAATTTTTTCATGTGGGCTTTGCAAAAATATGTAGTGAGTGGAACGCCTTAGGCCACAGAAGGAGTTCCATCAGCACTGCGTAATTCTAACATAACTGACACCAAGGTATCAGAGGGACTACGATGACTTAAAACTCATATCACTGGGGCCTGGCAGCATTTTCTCAGCTGTAATTCAAGAAATGAGGGAAGTTAATCACAGACCTGTAACTAGGATGTTTCAACTGTAACTAAGGATCAGAGCTGTACGTACAGATTGGAGAACTGCAAACATAAAACTAAATCATAAGAAGGGGGACAAAAGCAAAGTTGCCAGTAAGGTTATGGAAAAATTATAGCTATAGGAAAATTATAGGAAAAAAAATTACAAAGTGATGGCATTGTAATAAACAACACAAATTTAGTAAGGTAAGTTTTAACTTTTTTCTTCAAAAAACAGGACAATGACATTTATAAATCAATTATAAATACAAAAAGAAGAAGCATGTTATATATCTTTCTAAAAGATAAGGTAGGGTCTTTAACAAACATCTACTTTTCAAAAATAAATACAGGACTTGAAATCCTTTAGCTCTGGAAATGTAATAATA